CACTCCCCCGGGCCCCATCCCATCCTTCAGGTGTCCCTCACCTTGCTTCCGGCGGAGCCTTCCCTCCTGGGGAACCCACGCTCCTCCTTGGGCCACCACCTCGGCTTGGCCTTCAGGTGCCCTCAGGGACACCTCCAGGATGCCTGGCACGTCTCTACTCTCAGAGCCCAGCAATGGGCAGAAAGCAGACCCCTCTGCTGGGCAGGCACCCCAGGGGCTCATCCCGCCCTCCCCCGGCCGCGTAGCCTCGGGTTGGGCAGCCTCACCGGGGCTCACGACCACAACGCCCCGTCCCCACAGCTCAAGGCTCGGTGCGAGGAGCTAAAGCTGGACTGGGCCACGTTGTCCCTGGAGAAGCTGCTGAAGGAGAAGCAGGCCCTGAGGAGCCAGATCTCAGAGAAGCAGAGGCGCTGCCTGGAGCTGCAGGTGGGGCCAGTGGGGGCGGCTGGGCCCCAGCTCGGGCGGTGGGGTGCCTCGGGTGTGGTTCTGAACCTCAGGCTACCTGGATTCCCTGTGCCTGAGCCCGGAACTGCCACCGGGGGGCTGCATCTGCCCCCCGGGAGGGGCCCGTGCCTTGTGCTGCTGGGGCTGTGCGTTCGCCGAGGCCAGGGCAGCGAGAAGAAGCTGCGGGAGGGAGGACGCAGCAGGGCCTGGAGGTCTGTCTCCTGCTGCCACCTCAGCGCCCGGCAAGACTGCAAGGAGGGCGGCTGTCTGCCGGCCTGCCTCCTGGCATCCTGTGTCCCCGCTCCAGGTTTCAGCTCTCCTGGTCTCTGGACCCTCAGGGTTCTTATCACTACAGGAGGCCCTGTGGGGACTTTGTCTACACTGAAGGCCCCTTTCGAGGATATTTCCTTGAGAACGCTCCCCAGAGTAGACGTGGGAATGGCTTAGGTCTGGGATACGGGGCCCAGCTGCTTTCAGAGGGGCCTGGCCAGGGCCTTTGGCCCGCTGAGCCCACCCACTGGGTGGGTAGAAAGGAGGCTTGCTGCCCTCGTCCCCAGAGCAGGTCCCACGTGCAGAAGGGTTCTGGCCTTCCTGTGTCATTGAAAGGGGGGTCATTGTAGGGAAAAGCCAGACGGAGAAGACACTTCCCACCCCACCCCAGCCAGTGGGGTTCCCAAGGTCTGAAGTTCATGGCTGGCCGTCGGCTCCCTCACCGAGAGCTGGCCCGCGTCCCTCTCGCTCTCCTGGGATGACCTGCTGGTGGGTTGCTGGGCAGGGCTGGGCCCCCCGCGGCCTGATGCCGTCTCTTTCCCCCAGATCAGCATCGTGGAGCTGGAGAAGAGCCAGCGGCAGCAGGAGCTCCTGCAGCTCAAGTCCTGCGTGCCGCCCGACGATGCTCTGTCCGGGCAGCTGCGTGGGAAGGGCGCCCTGGGCCGGGAGCTGGAGGCCGAGCCCAGCCGGCTGCACCTGGAGCTGGACTGCGCCAAGCTCTCCCTGCCGCACTTGAGCCGCGTGAGCCCAGAGCTCTCCGTGAATGGCCACGCAGCCGGCTACGAGCCGTGCAGTGCGCTTAGCCGGCCCTCGACCAAGCAGGATGCCCCCCAGTGCCTGGCATGCCCCCTGGACCGGGAGGTGGTGCCCTGCGCCCCTGGCCACGGCGGCCGGCCGAGGCTAGAGAAGCTGCCCGGCCTGGCGCTGCCCGACTACGCCCGGCTCTCCCCCGCCAAGCTGGTGCTGAGACGCCACCTGAGCCAGGACCATGCGGCCAGCGGCAAGGTGGCCACTGGCGAGCCGCACCCGCGGTGAGTGCGGGCCCCGTGGTGTCTTCCAAGTGGGAGCTTGTCAGTTGGGAAGAGGTTTGGAAGCACCAAACCACGGCCGTAGGGGCTTCCCCAGGAAGTTGACGGGGCCGTGTCTCGTTTCAGGGCTGAGCACGCCAGGGAGAACGGCCTCCCGTACCAGAGCCCTGGCCTCGCCAACGGCATCAAGCTGAGCCCCCAGGACCCTCGGCCCCCCTCCCCCGTGGCCTTACAGATGGCAGGGGAGAAGGGCAGTGAGAAGGTGAGGCCAGGGCCCGTGGGGGTGGGCAGGGAGGGCGGGTGTGAGGCGACTTCGCCCACCCAGAGGTCGGTCTCTGGGGCCAGAAAGGAGAGGGCAGTGGGAACCTCAGCAGGAGGGTGAGAGCGTGAGGCCTGATGGCTGGATGGATGCTGGGGGCCCGCAGTGGGGGGATGCTTCTGGGACGCCAGGGGCCCTGGCCCATGGTTGGAGGGCTGCCGTGTCCCTCAGGCAGTCCTCGGGGCACGGGGTCTCCTGGGCAGTGGGAGCAGGCCATCTGGTGTGTCGGCAGGGACTGAAGGAACGTGCCCACGGCAGCAGCGGGGAGGCCATCACCAGCCTTCCCGTCAGCATCCCGCTCAGCACGGTGCAGCCTAGCAAACTGCCCGTCAGCATCCCCCTGGCCAGCGTGGTGCTGCCCAGCCGCGCCGAGAAGGCGGTGAGTGCCGGCCAGGGCCGGCCTGGCGTCCCCGGGGGGGGTGTCTTCGTCCCTTTTGTCAGACAGCACACGGTCAGGTCTCGAGCATCCCGCAGTGCCCGGCGACGCAAGGACGTGCGGCTTCCGGAGTCGGTTACAGTGACGTTGCGCCTTTTGTATCTTAGATCTCTTTTAGTGAAAGGTAACGTGTGCGGGTGGAGTGGGAATGAAACTTCCAGATTCTGTAGAAGCTTCCCTCTTCTCGTCCACACTTGGCACCTTGCTGCACAGGGTAGACTTGGAGATGAAGTTTTTGTACAGAGCAAGCTGTTTTCTGTGTTTACAGAGCCGTCGCCCACGTAGAGCTCAGCCACCTAAAGTATGCTGGGCAGTGGGTTCTGGTGCATTCACCAGTCAGGCAGCCACCTCCAAGTCCAGAACATTCCCCCACCCCTAAAGGAAGCCCCAGCCCCGTCAGCAGTCGCCCTCACCCCCTCCCCCAGCCCCTGACAGCCAGGAGCCCCTCCTTGTGTCTGGGGACTGGCCTGTTCCGGACGCCTCACATCCATGGACTCACACACTGTGTGTCCTTCTGTGTCTGCTTCTCTCGCTGAGCACCGTGCTCTCAGGGTCCGGCCCCGTGGGAGCGGGTGTCAGGGCTGCTCTCCTGGTCATGGCTGAGGGATGCGGTCTGTGTGCCCACTACCTTTCAGTGAGTGCTAGGGGAGAAGGTACAGCGCTGGGGCAGAGCACGTGCCTGGCTTGCATGCAGTCCTGGGCTCAACCCTCAGTGCTTCTGTTTGAAAAATAAAGAAATGAATCTAAATACGTATTCCCATCCCCAAAATAGACCAAAAAAAAACAAAACTTTTCAGTGAAGGTCGTGAGCACACTGCTGTGGACGAGAGTGGGCAAGTTTTGCATGGACACTTGTTTTCGTGTGGCTTCAGGTGGGCAGGGAGTGGCCGGTCAGGTGTGACTGCAGCCCTCACTGCTCTCTCTGCACGTGCACCCCGGCCCAACGTTGGCCCGTTAGCCAGAGCAACCCTTTAGAACCGAGGTCAGACACCTGTCCCTCACCGTGTCAGGACGTCCTGGTGGCTGCCCACCGTGCCACCACCCTGTGCTCCCTGCCCCGGGCCCCGGTCCTCCACCAGCAGTCCTGGCCCAGCCGACAGCGTGCGATTTCTCCCCACAGAGAAGCACCCCCAGCCCTGTGCCGCAGGCCCGGGAGGCCTCGTCCACGCTGGAAAAGCAGATGACTGCTAACGCCCACAGCACCGGGGGCAGCACTGCTGGGAGCAAAAGCCTCGCCCTGGCCCCTGCAGGTGAGTGCCCTCCTGCTCCTGTGGTGGCCCGCGCAAGGCCAGCCCAGCTGTCCCAGGGTCAGGCCCCTAGGGACGCCAGGTTGGGTTCAGCTGGCCCCTCTCCTCCGGCCATGCGGTCTGAGCCGCATGGTGAGCCCTGGGGGTCAGGGACGCTAGGCTGCTCCACCCCGCCCCGCCCCGCTCATCTGGCCACGTCCAGCCTGGGCCTACGCCGGCCCCCTGGATGGCAGTGTCCTCGTCAGACTGGGTCCAGCCGGGTCCTGGTCCTCAGAGAGCACTGGCTGAGACTTGCAGGCGGGGCCAGGGGTGCGCTCAGCCCAGCTCCGCAGCCAAAGTGCCCGCGCCCGTCGGGTGGGGGTGGGGGTGTGTGCTGGAAGGCTGCTCACTTGCCGTGAGACTGCGCTCTTCACGCTCCGCTGCACTGGCGTGGGGGTCGCCCCACAGCGGGCAGCGTTGTAGGGAGGCCCTGCGGCCTCTGACCGTCCCTTGTTCCCCCACCCACCTGTCCTCGCCCAGACCTGAGCGGCCCCAGGTCTCCTGGACAGGCTCGCCTGAGAAAGCCGCATCCTTCCCGGCAGGCTTTGCATACACCGGCTCGGTGGCCATCAGTGGGGCCCTGGCAGGCAGCCCGCCCCTCGCCCCTGGAGTTGAGCCCCCCGCCTTGGACGAGTCTTCTAGCTCCGGAAGCCTATTTGCGGCCATGGGGTCCCGCAGCTCCACCCCGCAGCACCCCCCCTTGCTGGCGCAGCCCCGCAGCTGCGGCTCGGCCTCGCCTGCCCCCCAGCTCTGCACCAGCCCCCGGCTCGGCCCCACCCAGGGCCCACTCCCCGACAGCAAAGGGGACCTCCCCTCCGAGGCTGGCTTCTCGGACCCCGAGAGCGAAGCCAAGAGGAGGATCGTCTTCACCATCTCGGCTGGTGCCAGCAGCTCCAAGCAGTCGCCTTCCAGCAAGCACAGCCCTCTGCCCTCAGGCACCCGCGGGGACGGCGGCCAGAGCCACGGGCAGGACAGCCGCAAGCGGGGCAGGAGGAAGCGGGCCTCGGCAGGGACCCCCAGCCTGAGTGCAGGCGTGTCCCCGAAGCGCCGGGCCCTGCCGTCCGTTGCTGGCCTCTTCACCCAGTCTTCGGGGTCCCCCCTGAACCTCAACTCCATGGTGAGCCATGAGCTGTGTGGGTGGTGCGGGCAGGGGAGCCCCGGAGAGCACTGGCCAGTGCTCCAGGCCTGCTGACAGGCTGTGCGTGTGACGATCCCTCAGGTCAACAACATTAACCAGCCTTTGGAGATTACGGCCATCTCGTCCCCCGAGAGCTCCCTGAAGAGCTCCCCAGTCCCTTACCAGGACAATGACCAGCCGCCGGTGCTCAAGAAGGAGAAGCCCCTGAGTCAGACCAATGGTGCCCACTACTCCCCACTGACCTCGGACGAGGAGCAGGGCTCCGAGGACGAGCCCGGCAGCGCCAGGCAAGTGGGGCCGAGGGAGGGCCCTGCTGGTCAGGCCACGGGACGGGCAGCTTCCAGCTGCTGCTGGGTGGTGGGCGTGTACCTTGGGGCTTTACCATGGCCCACCGGCCACCGTACCTTCCTCGGGTCACCTCCTGGATTATTCACCTTTACTTTGTAAGAAACAGCATGAAGGGCCCAGAGCGTCTGAGAGCGTCTTGCCTCCTGGGATGTGGTGTCCGCCTGTGTCCAGGGCAGGCCTGACCCTTGAGCCTACAGCTCCCGGGGCGGCAGTAGAGGGGGAGGGCAGCTGACCGCGCAGGAGAGCTGAGGCCGGCGCAGTCCCTCACCCTGCCCCACGCCCTGCCCGTCTCTCGGTGAGGGGCCTTGCCCTCCTTCATTGTTGGGGTTTGCAGCCTTGTTAGATGTGGCTCACAGAGCGCACCACCCATTTAAAGCACCTGACCCAGTGGGTTTTGATGTATTCGAGGGGTTGTGCAGATGTCACCACTGGGCCTTAGAACAGTGTCATCAGCTCGGAAAGAAGCCCCATGCCCCTGGCAGCCCCCCCCCCCAGCCCTGCCCCACCTCCGACCCCTGTCTCCGTGGCCCTGGCCCCTCCAGGGGCGGCCTGTGCGTGGGCTCAGGCCGTGCTCGTCCTTCTGGGCCTGGGTCTCTCCCGAGCAGCGTGTCCTCCAGCCCCGTCCACGTGCAGCAGGTGTCAGGACAGCCTTCCGTCCACCCTGTGGACGGGCCGCGTGTGTGCACCCGTCATCTGTCCACGGGCTCTTAGGCTGCCTACAGCTGTCAGCTACTGTGAAGCATGATGCTGTGCACATCTGCATATGCGTGTTTGTTTGAAAATATGTTTTGAATTCACCCGGTACCTAGGAGTGGGGCTGCTGCGTTACACGGGGAGTCTATGTTGACCTTCACGAGGAGCCACAGGCTGCTTCCCACTGCAGCTGCCCCCTATGCCAGCGGAGCCCCAGGGGCAGCTTCTCCACATCCTCCCAGCGTTTGTTATTTCCTGGGTTTCTTTTTTGCATTTCTTTAAACTTCATTTATGTATGTATTTTGTAGCATCGTATTTTTTAAGTTGAAGAATAGCTGACGTACAGGGTTACATGTTAACA